GCAGATTCCAGAGCGCCGTCAGAATTCCCTTCCAAAACAGCTAAATACAAGCCAGAATTAAGGGCAAGCCTGTTGGATGACACTAAGCACCAGAGGCTGGGAAGTCTAAGGAACCAGAGAGACTCACAGGATCTGAATCCGGCAGCCCCAACACAGAATCCCCCTTATGTTTGCTCCAGCCAAACCTCCTCCTTTATCCCGAGGGACACCAGACACACTCTCTGTAGGAGTGGCACCCGGCCGCTGGGCTGTGCCTGGCGATCAGTGAAGGGGGGAGAAAAGAGGCCGTGAGGGGCTACAATAGCTTCACACACAGCTGGGTTATTGGTGCGACTGTCCCATGACCAAGGCACTAACAAGCAGGGAGGTGCGAGCACCGTGCTGCTGTGGGGTGATGCTGCAAGAGCCCGGTCCTGTTTCTGGTTAGGAGGCCCTTCCACACATCAGCTGAATGGAATGCACCATGCCTGTCCTCTAGCCACACCACCGAGGGCTGTATGTGGAGTGGTTCGCGACCAGGACTGCCAACCAATGTTCCCTCTCGCTTCTCCCACGCGTGGGCGGAATGAATTTTGTTCGGTGCACCAATATGGAGGTGAGGTGGGGTGAGGGTGGGGCCGAGGGGTTCGGAGTCGGGGAATGGGCTCAGGGCTGTGCGTGTGGATGGGGGGAGGTGCAGGCGCAGGGAGCGGGAGGCGATAATGCGGACTTCAAACGAGTTGCTGGCTTCACAGGAAGTTTTTAATGATGCAACCAGATCATCTGGTGTCAGGGGCGGGGAGGGGAGGCGCTCAGGAGGGGCCGGGGCCAGGGCTTCCCACTGGCACCAAGATATTACAGTACTTGGAATTCTCTAAATAAACAAAAGAGAAGGATAGATAGATAGATTAGATAGAGGGGGTGTATGGGGATAGAGAGAGAGGAGGGTGTATGGGGATAGATTAGATTAGATTAGATAGATGGGGTGTATGGGGATAGATCATAGAATCATATAATATCAGGGTTGGAAGGGACCTCAGGAGGTCATCTAGTCCAACCCCCTGCTCAAAGCAGGACCAATCCCCAACTAAACCATCCCAGCCAGGGCTTTGTCAAGCCTGACCTTAAAAACTTCTAAGGAAGGAGATTCCACCACCTCCCTAGGTAACCCATTCCAGTGTTTCACCACCCTCCTAGTGAAAAAGTTTTTCCTAATATCCAACCTAAACCTCCCCCACTGCAACTTGAGACCATTACTCCTTGTTCTGTCATCAGCTACCACTGAGAACAGTCTAGATCCCTCCTCTTTGGAACCCCCTTTCAGGTAGTTGAAAGCAGCTATCAAGTCCCCCCTCATTCTTCTCTTCCTCAGACTAAACAATCCCAGTTCCCTCAGCCTCTCCTCATAAGTCATGTGTTCCAGTCCCCTAATCATTTTTGTTGCCCTCCACTGGACTCTTCCCAATTTTTCCACATCCTTCTTGTAGTGTGGGGTCCAAAACTGGACACAGTACTCCAGATGAGGCCTCACCAATGTTGAATAGAGGGGAACGATCACGTCCCTCGATCTGCTGGCAATGCCCCTACTTATACATCCCAAAATGCCATTGGCCTTCTTGGCAACAAGGGCACACTGTTGACTCATATCCAGCTTCTCGTCCACTGTCACCCCTAGGTCCTTTTCTGCAGAACTGCTGCCGAGCCATTCGGTCCCTAGTCTGTAGCGGTGCATGGGATTCTTCCATCCTAAGTGCAGAACTCTGCACTTGTCTTTGTTGAACGTCATCAGATTTCTTTTGGCCCAATCCTCTAATTTGTCTAGGGCCCTCTGTATCCTATCCCTACCCTCCAGCGTATCTACCTCTCCTCCCAGTTTAGTGTCATCTGCAAACTTGCTGAGGGTGCAATCCACACCATTCTCCAGATCATTTATGAAGATATTGAACAAAACCGGCCCCAGGACCGACCCTTGGGGCACTCCACTTGATACCAGCTGCCTACTAGACATGGAGCCATTGATCACTACCCGTTGAGCCCGACAATCTAGCCAACTTTCTATCCACCTTATAGTCCATTCATCCAGCCCATACTTCTGTAACTTGCTGGGAAGAATACTGTGGGAGACCGTGTCAAAAGCTTTGCTAAAGTCAAGGAATAACACTTCCATTGCTTTCCCCTCATCCACAGAGCCAGTTATCTCGTCATTGAAGGCAATTAGATTAGTCAGGCATGACTTGCCCTTGGTGAATCCATGCTGACTGTTCCTGATCACTTTCCTCTCCTCTAAGTACTTCAGAATTGATTCCTTGAGGGCCTGCTCCATGATTTTTCCAGGGACTGAGGTGAGGCTGACTGGCCTGCAGTTCCCAGGATCCTCCTTCTTCCCTTTTTTAAAGATGGGCACTACATTAGCCTTTTTCCAGTCATCCGGGACCTCCCCCGATCACCATGAGTTTTCAAAGATAATGGCCAATGGCTCTGCAATCACATCCGCCAACTCCTTTAGCACTCTCGGCTGCAGCGCATCCGGCCCCATGGACTTGTACTCGTCCAGCTTTTCTAAATAGTCCCAAACCACTTCTTTCTCCACAGAGGGCTGGTCACCTCCTCCCCATGCTGTGCTGCCCAGTGCAGTAGTCTGGGAGCTGACCTTGTTCCTGAAGACAGAGGCAAAAAAAGCATTGAGTACATTAGCTTTTTCCACATCCTCTGTCACTAGGTTGCCTCCCTCATTCAATAAGGGGCCCACACTTTCCTTGACTTTCTTCTTGTTGCTAACATACCTGAAGAAACCCTTCTTGTTACTCTTAACATCTCTTGCTAGCTGCAACTCCAGGTGTGATTTGGCCTTCCTGATTTCATTCCTGCATGCCCGAGCAATATTTTTATACTCTTCTCTGGTCATTTGTCCAATCTTCCATTTCTTGTAAGCTTCTTTTTTGTGTTGAAGATCAGCAAGGATTTCACTGTTAAGCCAAGCTGGTCGCCTGCCATATTTACTGTTCTTTCTACACATCGGGATGGGTCGTCCCTGTAACCTCAATAAGGATTCTTTACAATACAGCCAGCTCTCCTGGACTCCTTTCCCCCTCATGTTATTCTCCCAGGGGATCCTGCCCATCAGTTCCCTGAGGGAGTCAAAGTCTGCTTTTCTGAAGTCCAGGGTCCGTATTCTGCTGCTCTCCTTTCTTCCCTGTGTCAGGATCCTGAACTCGACCATTTCATGGTCACTGCCTCCCAGGTTCCCATCCACTTTAGCTTCCCCTACTAATTCTTCCTGGTTTGTGAGCAGCAGGTCAAGAAGAGCTCTGCCCCTAGTTGGTTCCTCCAGCACTTGCACCAGGAAATTGTCCCCTACACTTTCCAAAAACTTCCTGGATTTTCTGTGCACTGCTCTATTGCTCTCCCAGCAGATATCAGGGTGATTGAAGTCTCCCATGAGAACCAGGGCCTGCGATCTAGTAGCTTCCGTGAGTTGCCGGAAGAAAGCCTCGTCCACCTCATCCCCCTGGTCCGGAGGTCTATAGCAGACTCCCACCACAACATCACCCTTGTTGCTCACACTTCTAAACTTAATCCAGAGACTCTCAGGTTTTTCTGCAGTTTCATACCGGAGCTCTGAGCAGTTATACTGCTCCCTTACATACAGTGCAACTCCCCCACCTTTTCTGCCCTTCCTGTCCTTCCTGAACAGTTTATATCCATCCATGACAGTACTCCAGTCATGTGAGTTATCCCACCAAGTCTCTGTTATTCCAGTCACATCATAATTCCTTGACTGTGCCAGGACTTCCAGTTCTCCCTGCTTGTTTCCCAGGCTTCTTGCATTTGTGTATAGGCACTTGAGATAACTCGCTGATCATCCCTCTTTCTCAGTATGAGGCAGGAGCCCTCCCCTCTCAAGCGCTCCTGCTCGTGCTTCCTCCCGGTATCCCACTTCCCCACTTACCTCAGGGCTTTGGTCTCCTTCCCCCAGTGAACCTAGTTTAAAGTCCTCCTCACTAGGTTAGCCAGCCTGCTTGCGATGATGCTCTTCCCTCTCTTCGTTAAGTGGAGCCCGTCTCTAGCACTCCTCCCTCTTGGAACACCATCCCCTGGTCAAAGAATCCAAAGCCTTCTCTCTGACACCACCTGCGTAGTTATTCGTTGACTTCCACAATTCAACGGTCTCTACCCCGGCCTTTTCCTTCCACGGGGAGGATGGACGAGAAGACCACTTGCACCTCAAACTCCTTTATCCTTCTTCCCAGAGCCACGTAGTCCGCAGTGATCCGCTCAAGGTCATTCTTGGCAGTATCATTGGTGCCCACGTGGAGAAGCAGGAAGGGGTAGCAATCCGAGGGCTTGATGAGTCTCGGCAGTCTCTCCATCACATCGTGAATCTTGGCTCCTGGCAAGCAGCAGACTTCTCGGTTTTCCCGGTCGGGGTGGCAGATAGATGACTCAGTCCCCCTGAGGAGAGAGTCCCCGACCACCACCACCCGCCTCCTTCTCTTGGGAGCGGTGGTCGTGGAACCCCCAACCCTAGGACAGTGCATCTCATGCCTTCCAATCGGCGGAGTGTGTATGGGGATAGATAGATAGATAGATAGATAGGTGTGTATTGAGATGGATAGTTGATAGCTGAAGTCTAGGGTTTGGGCTTGGGCTCACAGCTTAAAGAAAATAAGCAGAAGGCTATTGGGGAAAGGCGAGAGAGATAGACAGAGACAGAGGAGGACAGGGTAAGGGAGACACAAAGGGAAAGATGCCGCCTATTTACAGGGTCCTGCCATAAGCACAATGTCTACAAACATGGCTCCTGCAGACCCTGAATCTGTCCCTTGGGGAGAGTGGGGGGCAGCTAAACCCCAGCCCTGAACAGGATCTGGCCCCTGGCTGGAAGAATAGGGTGACCAGATGTCCTGATTAGGGGCATTGTCTTATATAGGCAACATTACACCCCCCCCCCCCCAAAACGAAGTGTCCTGATTTTTCACACTTGCTATCTTACGGAAGGTGACCTCTCCTGTCCCAGCCACATGGCGCAGTGAGGTTGGGTGATGCTCTCACACGTGGGGGAAAGTTGCTAAGGGGGAGAGATCCCTGTGTGTCAGCCCCCCGGCCTGTAGTCTCAGGCCGTCAGCGGGGGGGAGCCTGCAGCAGGTTCTCACCTCGGCAGCCTCTGTACAGAGTTATTTTGTATTTCCCGCCCCCATCTGGGCCACAGAGCGACTGTCGGAGCCGGAGATCAGGGTCCATCCTGTGATGATTGGGAACGGCACTTGCAACGTGACCTTCACCTGCAGCGCCGGGGAGAGGGCCAGGCACCTCAATTACACCTGGACACGCCCAGCAGGAGGCGCCATTCTCTCCACCGAGGAATCCCTGCTGCTCCAGCACAGACTGGGGGACGAGGACTCGCCCATCACCTGCACGGCCACAAACCCCGTCAGTAACAGCTCGGCCAGCGCCTCCCCCAAGGTGGCCTGTGAAGGTGACGCTCGCTCCATCCCCCCCCTCGAGCGCACGCAGCAGGGAACAGCCCTTGCGGGCCTGGCTCGTACACACCCCCTGCTGCTCTGGCTGGGTTCTGGGGCACAGTGAGCACCACTAGTGGGCTCGCAGGCTTTTTAAGGGAACTACTCCCCAATTCCTACACCCCACCCTGGCACTGGGCAGGAAGGTCTGTCGCTGGGGGGCACCGAGGGTCTGGCACAAAGGGAACAGCTGGGTGTTTGCATGCCAGCTCACTGGGGTCTTCGGAGTCGGAGCTCCCGGCACCTGGTGTGGATTTGGGTTTCCAGATCGTGTGAACCCCCAAAGGTGCACGTCCTCCCCACGAGGGAGCAGAGACGGCTGTGAGAGGAGAGGAGCTTCCACTGTGGCTGTTCATCCCCCTGCCTCCAGGCTGGAGTTTCCCACGCGAGCCAGCTAATGAATGAGAATGCCCCATCGCCCACTGCAAAAGCCTCAATTTCCCTTCCCCTCAGGAAACAGGAGCACAGAGACGCTATTGCGCTAGACTCGGCCAAACGTGTAGCAATCCCGGATCCTCCGCCCGGCTGTTCTGGGGCACAGGGCAGGGGCATCTCCAGGATCGGAGTCTCTCTCTGGCCCAGCGACCATGGAGTTATGTATAGAAAGTGGAACAGCTGCGATAGGAGTGACTGAGAGACAGCCTCCCAAACAGCCTGGTGCACAGGGTCTTCCACGGGGACGTGGGAGATCTGGGTTCACGTCCTGCTCTGAATCAGACAGCACTGGGATTTGACCCCATGTCTTCCACATCCCAGCTGAGTGCCCTGATCTCTAGGTGAGGGGGACTAGGGACTCCTGCTCTCACTCTGGTTTTATCTGAGAAATGGCTGAGCTGGCTCAGGTCCCCATTTCCAGGCGAGGGTTCGTGGCTGAGGGTCCCAGCTGGAGAGAGGCACCTAGTGCCAGCCGTCCCTGTGGGGTGGAAGGCCCAGATCAATAGGAGCTGTGAATCTGGGCCCTAAACCCCACCCCTTTCCTCTGCATTTCACTCCTGGCCTGCTCAGCGTGCAGGCCTCTGAAATTCCCTTCCTTGGGTGCTGAGCTCTGCCCATGTGTTGTATGCAGAGCTCTGGGTGCCCAGCTTAGGATGGAGAATTCCACTAGGCGACAGGGCACCCAGGGTTACATGTAGCCGTGCTGAACATTGCAGCCCTGTGTGAATCTGGCCCACACTGACCTGCAAAGCAAAGTGAAACTGGAGGGCAGGTCAGATTTCTCTGCTGCTGGGACCAAGGCTCTCTAAGCGTTCATGAATTCTTCAGTCAGCTTTCACTGCCTGCACGCGCTGTGCAGGGATTGGGCTTTTAAATCCAAGCGCGCTCAGGGAGTGTTTGCACTCAGGGTGAGTTCATGTGTAGCACTCTCCTTCCTGGAGGGAGTTAGGAACGAAATCAACAAAGTCCTTTGATGCTACACAATATGTCATTAATAGTGCAAAGTCGTGCACTTAGGGACTAAGAACAGAATGTTTGTTATAAGCTGGGGACTTATCTGTTGGAAGTGACAGGGAAGAGAAAGACCTGGGTGTATTGGTCGATCACAGGATGACTAGGAGTCGCCAATGTGATGTGGCTGTGAAAAAAGGCTAATGCAGACCTAGGGTGCATCGGGCGAGGTATTTCCAGGACAGAGAGGGAAGTGTTAATATCATTATACAAGGCGCTGGTCATAGGCGCCACCTTCCCCTCGGCCTGGTGGGTGCTCCACCCCTCCAACCCCCTGGCCCTGCCTTTTCCCGCCCCTGCACCACCCTCTCCCCATCCCCATTCCACCCCTTCCCGCCTTTTCCCATCCCCTTCCAGCCCCTATTCCACACCCTTCTCCCAAGTCCCCGCCCCTGCCCTGCCGCTTCTCTGCCTCCTCCCCTGAGCGTGCCACGTCCCTGCTCCTCCCCCTCCCTCCCCGAAAGTCCTAAGTGCCGCCAAACAGCTGTTAGGCAGCGGCGGGGCGGGGGCAGTAAGCTCTGGGAGGGAGGGAGAGGAGCGGGGATGCAGCACACTTTGTGTGGGGGGAGCGTGGCTGCCGGTGGGTGTGGAGCACCCTCTAATTTTTTCCCGTGGGTGCTCCAGTCCTGGCGCACCCATGGAGTCAGTGCTATGGCGCTGGTGAGACCTCACCTGGAATGCTGGGTGCAGTTCTGGTCTCCCGTGTTTAAGAAAGATAAATGCAAACTGGAACAGGGGCAGAGAAGGGCTACTAGGATGGTCGAGAAATGGAAAACATCGCCTTAAGAGAGGAGACTCAAAGAGCTTTGCTTGTTTACCCTAACCACAAGAAGGCTGAGGGGAGATATGATTGCTCTCTATAAATACATCAGAGCGATAAATACCAGGGAGAGAGAGAGGAGCTATTTAAGTGAAGCACCAATATGGACACAAGGACAAATGGACATAAACTGGCCATCAACAAGTTTAGGCTTGAAATTAGATGAAGGTTTCTCACCATCAGAGGCGTGACATTCTGGCACAGCCTTCCAAGGGGAGCAGTATGGGTCTGTTACAGGAGTGGGTGAGGCTCTGTGGCCTGCGATGTGCAGGAGGTCAGACTAGATGATCAGGATGATCCCTTCTGGCCTTATAGTCTATGAATCTATTTGCTTTCACAAAAAGTAAAGGAGTACTTGTGGCACCTTAGAGACTAACCAATTTATTTGAGCATAAGCTTTCGTGAGCTACAGCTCACTTCATCGAATGCTCACGAAAGCTTATGTTCAAATAAATTGGTTAGTCTCTAAGGTGCCACAAGTACTCCTTTTCTTTTTGCGAATACAGACTAACATGGCTGTTACTCTGAAACCTGTTATTTGCTTTCAGTGAGCCTTTTACCTTAATCAATGCTGCTTTTCCTGTTTGACAAGTTACACATTTACAGAGCTTTACAACACAAACACTCATGATAACTTTATACCATGGAGGATAGAGATTATAAGTGAGATCAATACATGCAGCATCCTACAAGCATTTTATAAAGTCTAAACGCTAAACACATTCTTATCAACTTACCATCTAATATCTATTTTGATGATGGTAAAACACAGGTAAGCAAGTATGGGTTCCAGCTATGCATTTGTAAGTGTTCAGTGAGGCCTGGGGCCTTGGCATGACCTGGCACCCAGTCTGCCAGCAACACCGGCTGTAGGCTCAGGGTGAATTTTGCAAGCTTTGCAGGGTGGGGACTCTTCAGGTACTTGGATAGGAGACGTCCAAGAAATGCACAGGAAGTGGCATGCCTCCTTCTGAGTAACTACTGAACTGATGACCTTGGTGGTACAAGGTACTGTGCTGTCAGAGGGGATGTAAAACAAAGGTATCAGCCACTTGTGTGGCCTAGTGGCTAGAGCCCTGGACTGGGACTCTTGAGATGAAGAGTCTAGTCCTAGCTCAGCCTACTGGGTGACCCTGAGTTAGTCATGTCACTGTTCTGTGCCTCAGTTTCTCCATCTGTAAAGTGGAGATAATGATTCTGACATCTTTAGTGAAGTGCTTTGAGATCTATGGATGAAAAAGGTCATGCGTAGAGCTAAATATCATTGTTCTGGTCATTAAAACTAACTAAAGATTCCCGTGAAGATGGGGTGTTCACTCAGCACCCTGGACAAATTCTAGTATTCTATGATAGTATGATTCTATGATTCTATGATAGTATGGGATATAATTCCATTCTGCCTTCCGTAAACCTTCACTTCCATTTCAAGTATGTTAATGATGCGGGATTTTTCTTTACTATTGTATTGTGTAGCTGTGCATTGTTAAAACAGCTGCTGTCTTTCACTGCAGAGGTGGCCGCATTTCAATGGTGGGTCAAGTGACCCCTTTACAATAGTTTAATATGATGTGTAAGAGTCTGATCCTTCCTCATGTGGCTTCATAGAATCATAGAATCATAGAATATCAGGGTTGGAAGGGACCTCAGGAGGTCATCTAGTCCAACCCCCTGCTCAAAGCAGATCCAATCCAACTAAATCATCCCAGCCAGGGCTTTGTCAAGCCTGACCTTAAAAACTTCTAAGGAAGGAGATTCCACCACCTCCCTAGGTAACACATTCCAGTGTTTCACCACCCTCCTAGTGATAAAGATTTTCCTAATATCCAACCTAAACCTCCCCCACTGCAACTTGAGACCATTGCTCCTTGTTCTGTCATCAGCTACCGCTGAGAACAGTCTAGATCCCTCTTCTTTGGAACCCCCTTTCAGGTAGTTGAAAGCAGCTATCAAATCCCCCCTCATTCTTCTCTTCCGCAGACTAAACAATCCCAGTTCCCTCAGCCTCTCCTCATAAGTCATGTGCTCCAGTCCCCTAATCATTTTTGTTGCCCTCCACTGGATGTTTTCCAGGGGTGGCAGCATAAGGCCCTAAGCTTGTAACGTGGATCAAGGCTCTCTACATGGAATGGAACAGCATAGTCACGCTTGAGCCATGGCACAAAACTGATACTGAGCTCAGTCCTGTCGGATTATCATAGGGACTTTGAAACCGGTTCCCACATGGTCGCTCTACTACCTTGTGGGGACTGCATCAGCATCAGTGAGGCCAGATGCCTCCAGTAAACAGGAGAGACAACAACAGGTGCATGATCCAAGGTCCCCGCTGCATGGACGCATTCCGCCACCCGAGGGGCTGATGTCCAGAAAGAGCTTTGCCTTTGAAAATCCTTTACCCCACAGTACCACAAAGCAATAAACTGGCGGGAAACGTCAATGATCCTGGAGACCCTGGCTGCCTCAGAACAACTCCCTCCAAGCACTAGCCTCAAACAAAAACAGGTGCACTCCAGCTCGAGCGAGAGATGGGCAAAGTCTTGTGACAATAGGACCAAGTGGAAGCTGAGAAATGAGCCCAAATGTGAACGTGGAGAGCGTGGACACACATTTGAACACTACCTGATGAACACTAGCCCCTGTCAGCGTCCTGTACCCCGGAGGAATTATTGAGATAAGTGAAAACACCATGCTTTGGCTGCGGTTTTGGAGCAACAAGCTATTATGATGATCTACATGGAATGTAAGATATTAGGATGATTTCAGCAGAGATGTTGGGCAGGGACTGTCTTTTTGTTCTGTGTTTGTATGGCACTTAGCACGATGGGGCCCTGGTCTGACTGGGGCACCTAT